CTCAAAAATGGAATATTATTTGCAGATAATTAATTCCATATCAAAAAGTCTTTTTAGACCAATTAGGTGAAATAGGATGATTTTCTACGGCACACCTGACCATCACTAACGGCACACTAGTGGTTGAAAAACACTGTTCTAAAGGACCAGGTCCTCACCTGTAAACTGCAGATCCTTGACTTTCTGCTCAGCCTTTGAGTGTTTGACACTGTTCTCATTCCTCTCCTCCTCCAATAGCTCCAGTTTGCGCCTTAATGCTGCTAACTCGCTCTGATCCTCACCGGCCCGCAGCTTCTCCTCCATCAGCTCCATCTGAAGAAAGGCCACGATCCTACAGACATTCGCTTTTTCATGGAGAGATGTGTGCAGCAGTTTGAATCGTTTGATATAAAACCCAGAACATGGTGCTGACATGAGGACTGTATGGCTCTCAGTGTGCGTTTCCTCAGACTTTATACAGTTTTAGATAATCAATCACAACAGAGAGAAGAAAGATAAATGGATGAAATGATATTAGTAATAAAATGAGTTTAAAAAAAAGTAAAAAATTATCTGAAACTCTAGAGAGCTTTATATCAGACAGGGGGTCATAGTGTTATGGCTGTTTGGCGCACACCTTCTGCAGCTTAAATTATTATTTTTTACCATCTTCCTGCCTCTGATCTGCCTTTTGGTCGACTGAAAAAGATATTAGCAATTTCTTATGCAGTTGCATTATAAAATGCTACATATGTGACATGATGCCTCTTCCAGTGTCGTGCTAAAGCTAACAGTGTAATGGTCTAGCTTATTAGAGAGTAAAAATATATATTTTTTTAAAACTTCATGAAACGAGAGCAACCAATAACGTATCGAAGTGCTCCAAAGTGAAACAAAATCATAGTGTATTTTCTACCCTTCTGACTCTAAACTGAGACGTAAAGTCTGTCTTCCATCCTGAATCTGTATTAAACAATCCTACAGACAAATATATGAGGAGACCTTCTCTGAGACCTTGTAGGATGAAAGAGCCGCATGAGAAGGAAAAAGAATCTTTAACTCGTTGGCTGCCAAAGACGTGTATAGACGTCTTTTATGTTTTTCAACGAGAGTGTCTGGGGGACGATC